TTATTTATTTTGAGAAAGAGACAGGGGAGGAGCAGAGAGAGAGGAGAGAGAGAATCCTAAGCAGGCTCCGCACTGTCAGTCGGAACCTGATGCAGGGCTTGAACTCATGAACTGGGAGACCATGACTGAGCTGCTATCAAGAGTTGGACATTTAACTGACTGAGCCACCCAGGCACCCCTGTTTGATTGTCTTTTAAATGTGTTTTTCAGTGGAGGAAAATTAGAACCTCCTCCCAACCAGTTTACAAAAGTGTTTTTGTACAAGGCTCTAACACCTTCCTGGGCCTTGATTTTCTCATCATTATCATTTCTAAAATGGGATTATCTTTCAGCCCGAAAGTTTTCCAAGAGTTTGAGAAATATAGGCATTCTGGAACCTGTGCTGTAATATTAGCACAGCATTTTGGGATTTACAGAGGGCTTTACTTAAATAATTTTAACCCTTAATTCTCAAGTTAGGAAATTGAGGCTGAGCAAGTTAGATCAGTTTGCTAGATGTCATCTACAAACGGTGGAGTTGAACTTGAACCTAGGTTCTAGGATTCTCCCCCTCCTCTCCACCCCTTTTGTTCAGGGAGACACCTGAGAATTGGCCAAAACTTGACAAACAGACTAATGTTAATATGTGGCAGTTTCTCACAGTATTTCATTTATAGGTTATTCTGGTTTCAGAACTCCAGGGTTAACATCTATGCTTTGATGTCAGAGATTAAAAACAGACCAGTAATAATGGTAATAAAACTTTCTCCCCAAGAGAGTTTCAGAAATTCACATACCTCAAATTAATCATTTGTTTATTTTCAACTTTTCTTTTATTAAGTAGGCTTCAGGGCCTAGTGTGATTTATAATCCAGACTAGTAACCCAGACAGCATTCTTAAGGAAGTCAATCCTCAAATCTGCATGTCTTTTTTTTTTTTTTTTAATTTTTTTTTTTTAACGTTTATTTATTTTTTTGGGACAGAGAGAGACAGAGCATGAACGGGGGAGGGGCAGAGAGAGAGGGAGACACAGAATCAGAAACAGGGTCCAGGCTCTGAGCCATCAGCCCAGAGCCTGACGCGGGGCTCGAACTCCCGGACCGCGAGATCGTGACCTGGCTGAAGTCGGACGCTTAACCGACTGCGCCACCCAGGCGCCCCCATGTCTTTTTTTAAAATAAGAAATGAACGTATCATTTGCTTTTCATCTTGGTATCTCTCAGCGGAATAATATAGCCTGGATATAAATGTCCCTTTTTTGGTGTCATCGTTTTTGGGCTCTTTCTACTGATGTCTGGATAAGTCTAATTTTGCAGCTCTTTTTGTGCTACGTAAATTCTTCCCTTATGCTGTTGGTTTAATGGTAAAGAAGTAAGTAGTAGGATGCAGGTGACCCATTTTCACCGTGACTCTAAATGTTTGTACTGTGTCTTGCTTGCCTGTTTAAGAGCACTGAGTGCAACTTGACACTCATCTGGAAGCTGGTATGGATTTTCTTTAAAAGGTTCTAAAATAAAATTATGTGCTAAGCTATAGGCTTTTATGTCTGAGCAGCCTGTCCATCTTTAGCTTTTTAAACTTATTCTCCGAAGACTGCCTCTTCAGAAAGTTAAGCAGTGGGGTTTAAACCTCAAAAAAGAGTGTGTACCAATAAGTATCGATTGCCTGACTGTAAAGGCTGCCATTTCTGTGTGTGTGAGCAGAGAGAGCATTATGAACCCGTATTTGCTAGTGAAGTTGGGAGACTTTGTTATCAGTGTACTAGAAGGGGACAAGAGCTGCAAAGCAGAAGAATAGCTTCTGGTTTTTTATTATCAGGAGACTGGGTTTTGAATGATAGGGGAGGACTTTTGATAAAGAAGGCTATCAGGAAATATCTTGTGGAGAGTGAAAGGGCTTCTGGTTTGGCTAGGCTGTGGTATTGATGGGGTTTGCTCTTCTACAGTAGACGTTGTCTTTAAGGGCTCTGGCAGGTGTGTGTAATCAAGAAGAATATTCTGGAAAGAAGAGTCCCATAGGCAAGAATGTCAAGGACTAAAAGAGTGTTGTAGAAGGATGGCATGGTCCCTGGATTTTAGCACAGATATTTGCCACTACTGTGAAGGAATTCATTAGTAAAAATCTTCTGGCCACAGTTGTATGTAGATCTGAACCCAGTATGTTCAGTTGTATAGCCCAGAGCCACAGTGACTCACCACCTTTCCTGCCCCACCCCAGCACACCGAGGGTTACTTGCCTATCATGAACAGTGGCTTATTACCTCTGTAAGTCCAGGTGGGGGTAGGGCAGTCTCTAAGAAACACTTGGTTATATTCTTTTCATGCATACCTACTCATGCAAACAGGGTCCTTTATTACATGTGCTTTTGAAGAGATGTGAAAAAGATTTGACATACAAGGGTGCATATATCTGCACAGTTTAGAGTACAGTATATACTTGTATAATGTGCTTTTTTCCCCCTGTCATATCAGTAAATTCTTTGGCACTGTTTTAATGGCTATTTGGTAAATCCATTACCTACATTACCATAATTTATTTAGCCAGTCCATTTGGACGTTTAGGTGTGTTGAAAAGAAATACCTCTTAGGCATTAAGAGCCCTTTGGCTCAGATCTGATTTACTCATTAAATTATAGGGTCCAGCACACTGCCCCACATAGGGGCACCTGGCTGCTGGTAGCTTCAGAACCTCCCATCATCAAGAAACTGACTCTTTGCTCTTAGTTCCAATTTGGGAAAACCCTGGAGAGAACTCAGATTGGCCTGATGCCAGCCAAAGGAGAGTTACGGTCGGCAGTCTCCATTTAGACCCACAAGATGGGACTGTGGGGAGACAAAGTGTCCCACAAAGAAGGAGGTTATTGTTAATGGAAGAGGGAGGGAACCGGCTAAACAAAAAGAGCTAGCTGTTTAATGTAGGATATGTTTCCAAAAGTGGTATTGCTGGTCATAACAACATACCAATGTGTCAGAGGGTAAGAACATTTTTAATGCTCCTGTGATATACACTCCACAGTCTGAGACTTTTCCACATTCTGTGGAGATTTGAATTGCTGCATATACAGGCAGTCGTGTAACAGGATAGTGAATTACTGCAAAAAAGTCGGGAATTGGTTATTATTATCATGTATCCCATTATACTCCCCTCTCTTTGCCATGCTTTATTCTAAATTACTTGGGGGTGAGTAACATCAATTATTAATGTTTATCGAGTGCTTGCTTACACTGAACTAGATGTTTGAATTTAAAAAAATCTGTGGCAATGAAACAGTATAGTTTTTTCTTCCCCCATTATCCTGCATGCAGAGTGTTATACCAGGGATGGCTAAACCACAGCACTCCCCATCCTGGTCTCCTTTCCTTCCTATAGTTTAAACCAACTACTGTTTAGTTGGTTGGGATTCAGAAGTTGGAGCTGGGCTCAGCTGGGTGGTTTTTCCGCCTGGGCCTAGGCTCACTCATGCCCTGGTGGTTACATGATTCTTTGCAAGGGCCACTGCTATAATAATTTCCACATTACTTGGTATCATAATCTGGCTTTTGATTAGTTTTCCATTGGCCATTCACTTCAAGGTAAGTTGGGTGTGTCCTTTGCCTGAGGGAGTGAATCTTGATTTAAGTCAAGTCAACTTTAGTAATATACCTGTTGCCAGTGACTGGTTAATGAATACTTATGTGACACCTTTTGGGTACCACCATATTAGGAACCAAAGGTGGTCAGCAAAATAGAACAGGTTGATACTGTGAGGATCACAGAGTTCAAGGATAGATGGTGCCTAAGAACACAGTGACCTTTTTCAGCTGCTGAATTTACTAACCCTAAAACCACTGTGACTCAGAACTTCTTATGTGAGCATTATTTTTTATTATTGTTATTGTTTGAGGCAGTTATCTCCAAGTAGAGTGTGCTAGATCATCCAGTATGGAAAGGAAGAAAATATTAGAACTTTATCCAGAAAAGAAAAAGCTTTACTAATATTTAATAGATGGATTGACACTGTTTGCCATATCTGAAAGTCTCCTGTTACTTAGGTTACATGAGGGACGAGTTGGCATTTTACAACCTGGTGGAATTGCCAGTGGTACTCTCATTCTTGCCTTTGGTGTACTTTATCTGTGTAAAGGGGTTTATGGATTATATTATCTATTTTTAAGTAAATCGACTCCCACAGAATGGGCAAGTGGCTTAAAAAGATTCTTGCAAAGAAAGTTTAATGATAATGATCTGAGGCTATAGGAACAAGAAAATGTCTTATAATGAGATTAAAAAATGACTTTTAAAGTTTACTTATTTATTTTTGAGAGACAGATGGAGTGGTGAAGGGGCAGAGGTAGAGAGAGGGAGGGAGGAAGAAAGAATCCCAAGCAGGCTCTGATGCTGGGCTTGAACTCATGGTGAGATCATGACCTGAGCCAAAATCAAGAGTCCAATGCTTAACTGACTGAGCCACTCAAGCGCCCTGGAAATGACTTTTAAATCAGATTAGTAAATTGGTACAAAAATTGTATATGAATTTATATTAATAAAAATAAACTTGCAAATGCTATTTGAATCATTCTCATCATTTAAAAAGTTTTTAGTAGATGTTTTATAATGTTTTTTTTTTTTTTTTTTTTTTTTTTTTTTTTTTTTTTTTTTTTGAAGCAGAAGTTGCTTTAATCAAGGGGTGAAGTCCTCTATCAGGGGGACCTCACTGAACCTTTGGTGGTGGGGTCTCAGCCTACCCCCCACATGCCCTGAGGCCCCTCAGGAAGGAGGGAACAGCTGAACAGCAAATTCTGGCAGAGGCCAGGGAATGGAAATAGGGGAACCCAAGTCGAGGGGCAGGAGCAGGGCACTGACTGGCAGAAGTGAAGCTGAGTAGGGCAGGAACAGCTGTACACACACGGTTCTACAATGGGGACTAACTGAGGTGGCTGTGCATCAGGCAGAGTGGCACCAGGAGGGCTGAGGGTAGAAGTGGATGGGGCAAGGGGTGGGTGTGGGAGAGGAGAAGGAGCACTTAGGAGATGAGGCGACCATGAAGCTGGTGCAGCTGCTCCTGGGTACATTATAAATGTATTTCATAATGTAATTCATAAGTCTAGTGTTTTAATTATGCATAAATTACATGCAGCTTATAACATGTGGGGGGTACATGTTTAAATTTTTTTTTACTTTTAGGGCTGCATGATCCAAAAAGTTTTGAGACCATGTTTTCGTGCCACTTGTAGTTATGTAATTTTTGTTACTTGTAGCTGAAGGCACAACCCATTCAAGGTCAGGTGAGAGACATGGCTGTTCCCTTTTTATTCATAGCTTTCAAGATTCTCCATGATCTGGCTCATAACTTTCTTTTCCAGACCCAGTTGTCTTCTCTGTGTCTCTGCAAATGACACTTCAGCTAGGGGCCCATTCCATAACTGTCATATACTTTCTATAAATTTTGCCTCTGGGGAGACTGTTCTCCCCCCCTCCCCCCACTACATTTTCATTGTCCTTCAAGAACTAGCTCAAGTAAATACTGCATCCTTATTAATATTTTTCTGATCTCCCCCTTCTGCATTTACATGGTTGCTTCTATTTAGTCCCCAGCACATTACTTGAACAATTACAATGTTTTGTTTTTTTTTCTTTTTGCCTTTTATTATTAAGTTGTTGGCCTGCTTACTTTGCCTATGGGTTATAGCTTCTTGATGGTTGGAGTCGTGTCTTGCCTGAGTCAGCTTTTTAAATTGCTTATTTCCCTTTCCGGGGAGAAAAGGGAGGCAGGTGGAGAACCCAGTTACTGTGGGTAGCTTCTCTCTCCTCCACTTCTCAACAGGCTTAGGAGGTTGAGTGCTCCATATACATGTAAGGTATCTGAGGGTAAGAAATGCACACGGCCAAGACAGGAGGATCCAGGGTCCAAACCCAGGACATTTTTATTCCAGAGGTTTTTTGTCTGCCCTCTCATGTGTTGTGCACAGTTAAACATTGTTCTTCTTTCATGTGGAAACACTGACATGGGTAAAAATGGGGAGGTCGGTGGGCTGATGCTGTAGAAACCTCCCTGGACAATCCTAGGCAGGTGCAGTCAGTTCAAAGGAGAGTCCGCTCTCCTGTGGAGTAAAGACAAGGCCTGGAGCATGGGTTGTGTGACAACCTAAATGCCTGTGGACAGTTAGCTGTCTGCAAGTAGCACCAAACAAAATCATGGGGGAACTCCCACAGTAGGATTTGGCCTGAGTGTCCCCTTTGAGAAGCTGGAGGTGATGGCCTCTCCGTGGTTCAGCTGAGTCAGATTGCATATGCCGTTATTCTCTCTGTGGTAAGGATAATTGAAGGTTGACAAGTTGTCGGCTTTCAAGTTGAGCCATGTTAGATATATGCTATCATGATGGAAAACAGACATCTCTCCAGGGTTTTGAGGGTCAAATGACAGAATGCATATGAAAGGCTTTTGAACATTGTAAATTGCCTCCTAGATGCAAGGGATACATCAAATTTTATTGTTTCCTTATAGCAGTGACTTCTAGCTCAGATTTCTGTGTTAGCAATTTTTGTTTTCTTTTAAGTGTACTTCCAAAGACTTTTTAAGTGTGGAGGCTCTTAAATGGAATGGGACACATTTTTTTCTTAAATGAACTGCAGATATTAGTTGAAAGCTTGCTTTTAAACTTTTGGCCGTGGAGTAGATAGAATTTGTGGTAAGGTGAATCTGTCTAGGGATCTAGTTGTTCAAGTACTCAAAAGATCATTTATAAGAATGGGACCACGTCTGGTGCAGAAAGATGGGAATCTGGGGGACTTTGAGGTAAATTGTTAGAAGCCCTTAGGAACTACCTGAAAGACTGTCAGAGAGTTTTGATTTCAGGTTTTGTTTTGTTTGGTTTTGGTTTGGTTTTTGTTTTGTTACTGTGAAACCACTAACTTATTTTGAGGAGTCATTGGAGAGGGTTTGAGGAGCCTTTGAAATATCTCAGGGCAGGGACACCTTGGTGGCTCAGTTGCTTAAGTGGCTGACTCTTGATTTTGGCTCATGTCATGATCTCATGTTTATGAGATCGAGCCCCATGTTGGGCTCTGTGCTGACAGCAAGAAGCCTGGTTGGGATTCTCTCTCTCTCTCTCTCTCTCTCTCTCTCTGTCTCTCTCTCTCTCTTTCTCTCTCTTTCTGCCCCTCCCCCACCATGCACTCTCACTCACTCTCAAAATAAATAATAAAAACTTAAAAGAAAAAAAGAAATATATCAGGGACATTTTGAAAGTGAAAAAAACTAGGTGTGGTTTGACAACTTATGAATTTGAAATCTCTTCTGTTGTAGATTTCAAAAGGAAATAGATTTGAATAAGTAAAATTTAACTCCACTTGAGGGAAATTTTGTAGTGGCAATTTTGTATTGTAGAAAGAGTTTGATTTAGGGGCAACTTGGTGGCTCAGTAGGTTAAGTGTCAGACTTTGGCTCAGGTCATAATCTCACGGTTTGTGAATTTGAGCCCTACATTGGGCTTTCTGCTGTCAATGTAAAGCCTGCTTTGGATCCTCTGTCTCCTCCTCTCTCTGCTCCTCCCCTACTCACATTTTCTCTCGCTCTCCCTCCCTCTCAAAAATAAATAAACACTAAAAAAATCAGAGTTTGATTTAGAAATGAAAACATGCTAACTTAAAGAGTCCACATGTACTTATTTATGGATGCAAAAGACAGAGAAAGCGAGAGGCTTTTAAGTTGCAAATAAAATTGTGAATTATTTATTATTTATTTACTATTATTATTTTATTATTGGAGTATGTGAGTTTTTTAATTATTCAGGGTTCTTAGAACATGCATGTGACTTAAGAGAGCCTTCCCGCAGAGTGATTTAGCTAGATAAAGCAGCAATTCCCAAAGGAGTTTCCAAGGAAAATGCAATTCTTAGGAAATTAGTAGATGTTATGCACTGAAAAAAGGTTCTATGTTCAAATAAGTGGGAAGATTGGGGTTAACCAAAGTAAAATAGGTATTTTTGTTTTTTTTCCCTAACATTTATTTACTCATTTGAGAGAGAGAGAGAGAGAGAGAGAGAAAACTCGAGCGGAGGAGGGGCGGAGAGAGAGGGAGAAAGAGAATCCCAGGCAGGCTCCATGCTATCAGTGCAGAGGCCACAGTGGGGCTCGATCTCACCAACTCTGAGATCATGACCTGAGCCAAAATCAAGAGTCTGATGGTTAATTGACTGGGCTACCAAGGGCCTTGGTAATTTTCTTTTTAGCTGCAGGACTTTTGAGCACCATTATTTTTAATATTTATTGTAAATCTCCTTGGAGGGAACCAGAGTTTTAAGCATTTCCCAAATGCATTGAGTTGTAGAAACTTTTTTTGCAAAGCATCTTTGCCAGAGAACAATTTTGGGTTGTTTGTTATGGTCAAATAGCTTTAAACCAAATCCCAGACATCATTTAATTTCACCTGACAAACTTTGGTATGCATTTCTAACTAAGGACTTAAAAAAAAAAACAACCCACCACCTTGTTATCACTTTTCATAAAATTAACAGTGATTTCTTAGTGTCAGTTTTTTTTTAAGTTTATTTATTTTGAGAGAAAGCAAGAGTGAGCGGGGGAGGAGCACAGAGAGAGGGAGAGAGAATCCAGAGCAGACTCCACACCGTCAGTGCAGAGCTCAGTGTGGGGCTGGAACCCACGAATTGTGAGATCGTGACCTGAGCTGAAATCAAGAGCCAGATAAAGTTTACATATAGCACTGTGTGTTTTTGTTGATTTGGCCTGTTGGTCTTTTTTTTTTTTTTTTTTTTTTTTTTAAGTTTATTTATTTTTATTTTGAGATAGAGAGAGAGAGAGAGCAAGCACAATCATAGGAGCAGGAAATCCTTGGGCAGAGAATCCCAAGCAGGCTCCGTGCTGTCAGTGTGCAGCCCAATGTAGAGCTGGATCTCATGAACGTAAGATCATGACCTGAACTGAAACCAAGAGTTGGGCGCTAATCTAGGTGCCCCCACCTTTAGTCTTTTTAAATGTAGAAAAATGCTATTTCACTACCCCCTCCCTCTCCCTCCTGACTTTTAGAAGATAACTTGTAGGACGTCCTATATCTGAATTTGTTTCCTTGTGGTGTTGTGTACCTTGTCCTTTGCCCTCTGTATTTCTTATAAATTCAAGGTTAGATTTCAAGGCATGGTTTAAATTTAGGTTAAATATTTTGGGCAAGAACAGGTCCTAAACTATGCTTTTCTCCTCCCTATGATTTGAGAACAGGCATTTTAATTTAGCAATTCATAAGTAGGTCATATATATATATATATATGTACACATACATATATGTATATATATATAATGGCTTAGAGTTTGTTTGGAAATTAATTTTATTAGTATAACAAGTGGATGCAAATTTAATTTATTCCAGTTGTGGTTGGAAACGTGGTGGTATTCTGAATAGTTGGTCTGGTTAAATGGATATAAGTTTTCAGTGTATCTTAAGATTATAAACCATGCGCCTATTGGTTAAAATGGCTTGAGTGTTAAACATTTTGATGGTTGGATTTTATTCAGAATGACAAGGTATCTGAGTTGTAATTGTAAAACACTATTCTATAAAAATTTATTCTAAGCACATTAATTAAGAACATGCATTAATTCTACTTCTGTTGGATAAATCTTAACAATATCATTCTGACAAATGCTTATGCTAATTTCAGGTACAGCCATAAATCTAAGGACACTCTCAGGGTAATAATTTTATACATACATTGTCTTGGAAACTCGGACATGTAAATAAAAGTTCCTACTGTAGCTGACTTTGCTAACTTAATTTGATATTTAAGTTTTTTCCCTTGATATCCTTCCAAGTGCTTGTATGTCTGGGAAAAATTAAAATCAGAAATTTTGTGTGTCTTAATGAAGAATAGTTTGGCATATATAAAGTAACTTTGTGTGAAGAATGATAGCTATCATAGGTAGTTCCCAGCACATTCTTGTGTTTAATCCCTTAGAGGGTAGGAATACTGTTGTATATATTGAAATTTGCTTGTTGTAAATGAGGTACCTTGGACAGTAAGTACTTTGCAACTATGGTAGTATACTAAAAATA